TGTCCTATTTTGGAAAAGACATTTGGTTTATTCAAATTGGGACCCAGTGGGGTCTGCGCACGCGACCTGCTGTTGCTGCCTCAGTTTCTCTCTCTGGGAGCCCCTGGGCATTTGCAGTGGAGCTGAAGGGAGCGGCAGGGTCTGGGGCTTGGAAGCAGACAGTCCAGCCACACTGGATGAAACCGAGCCGCAGCCTGAGAGGATCAACCAGCCGCGTGCAGGAAGCTGCTGCTTAAGTTAATAAAGGGGTTTTTGTTTAAGAACTAAAAAGAAATGTGTGTGAGACTCCCCGGTCTTCCAGCAGCGATTCTCAAAATTGAGTACCACAGCCACCTGGAGGCCTGGGGAACGGCGTGGGGGGTGCCTGGGCCCTGCCTGGAGTTCCGGCTCAGCAGGGGTGGGGCGGGGACGTCGCTGAGCAGCCTATCCAGGGGCCCCATCTTGAGAAGCTCAGCGTCACGGCACTTCATAAACAGACCTGTGGCTGAAGTTTAGCAATGGTGTCACCTAGAACATGTGAACTGCCTTGTGGGTTTTAAAGATTAAAGAACGAAAATCAGTGTGCCTGGCCTGTGGTAGGCATAGTCGTCTCTCTGGGCAGGAGGCACCTACTATGTATTACAATGGCTTCAGCACCCACCTGGTGGCAGCATATGCAGGTGACAGCACAGATTTGGGTGCTGAGGGCCTGTGATACCACCCCCCTTAGTCCTCTGAAGGCTGCTCTGGGATGAGGAGGGCCAGACGCAGAAAAATGGATAAGAAACAAGACATGGGGTGAAGTCCTGGGCTGGGGGAAACACTCGCCCCCAAAAGTCTGGCAGGGCAGGATGGCCTGCTCTGACCCATGCCGTTCAACCACGTTAGAAGAGCAGGACAGACCGGTAGGGGCAAGAGGGCAGCTTAGGGCAGTGGCATGCAGGCCCCCGACTCTCAGGAGCTGAGGGGCATTGCTGGCCGAGCATGGGAGGGCCAGGCACAGGCACCACCCTCCCCCCAGCCCCCAGCTGGTGTCCTCATCTGTGAGGGGGCACCGCCGTGCTTTGCTCCCCGACCTGGCACGGAAGGGAGCATGAGGTGGGCAGGAGGGAGGGGGCCTGCCATGGAGGGCCAGGAGGCCAAGATGTCCCTCCCCACTCCCGTTCTCTCCACTATGCTGCTTCTAGAAGTGCCTGCACCGGCCTGCCCCCTTTGAAGGGACAGATGTCGGGAGAAAGCTGATTATTGTCAAAGGCTGGAGGCTGTGACCGGAGATCTCGGTGAGCATGACCCAATTCTGAGCTATTCTCAGCCTGGTGGGAGCCAGTTATTCCCTCCCGCCAACGCCACCGCTTCGGAGGCGGCCTGACTTTGAAATGCCCTCGTCCTGGCTGCTGGGCTGGGCCACGAAGGCTCCCCTGGGCACAGAGGCTTCTCGTGGGGAGGGCCTGTGGGCTGGCATGGCCACTGCTGGGGCAGGGCAGCAGGCTGGCCCCACTGCGCACCTCCTTGCTCACTGAGACCCACCTCAGGCAGGGACCGGCCCGCTGGCTCCGGGGTCCACACCCTGGCTCCCAGCCTGTCTGCCGCCAACCTGCTGGCCATCTCAGGAAGCGACTTCTCAGTTGCAGTGTCCAGAAGTAGGTGGTGCACATAGCCCCGGGACAGAAAGACCCGCCCACTCCCCCGCCAACCCAGACCTACCACACAGGATCCAGGCCACTGCCGCCCCACAGCCACCTCTTGCCCTGCACTGTGTACCCAGATCCGGGTGGCTCCTGGGAGCCCCAAAGGGCAGGCCTGGGTGCCCTGAACAGGCGGAGGCAAGCACATGGGAGGCACTCAGCCCATGCCTACTGGTGACAGCACCCACCCTCCCGTGGCTAGTGAGGACAGGACGCAAGGCCCGGCAGTCAGCCCCAGTTGCCCGCTCCCTCCTGGGGACCTGCTTCCTCAAGGCCCCTCCAGGCTGGCATGTGACCCCAATAGTCCTGGGGCTGTGGAGCCCAGTGCTCACTCTGCTTAGAGCAGCTTTGGAAATGGCACGTGCCAGCCCAGAGGCTGGAGCTCCACCCTCTCCATCCACTGCTTCTGGAGCATTGCCCACCTCACCTGCAAGGCTTGCCCATCCGTCTGCACAGGCATCTCCTCTTCTGAGGAGCCTTCCAAGACTCCACCTACCCTCTAGGGTGACGCATAGGGAACCACTTATGGCCAGGATTCTGCAGTCGCATCTCTGTGCCTCAGTTTCCCTATCTGTGCAATGGACTGTTGAGGGGGCTAGGGTCCCCTGGCAGCCCACCTGCTCTCCAGCTTCTGGGCCTGAGGAGGTGGGCGGAGAAAGCAAAGCCTCAATGGAGACGGAGAGGGGCGAGGTGACTAGACTGCAGGGGTGAGGGCCTCCTGGGCCCTCAGGGTAGCCCCACCTCCTCACATTCTGCTAGACAGGGTGTGCCCCCAGCTGCCTGCTGCCCTCCGCCCACCCAGAAACCCTGCCCTGGTCCCCACCTGTGCAGCCTGGGTTGGACTCAGCCCTCTGGGGCTCTTGGGTGAGAGAGAGGCTAGTCTCTGAGGCAGGCGAGGCTGGGGAACAGTGAGAGGCCCCAGGAGCAGCTCACGCAGGGGTCCCAGGCAAGACAAAGCTTGGGGGCGCTCCTGAGGGAGGGACTCTAATCCTGGCTCTAGGGAGGACCGGGGCTGGGGCTGTCCAAGCAGGTGAGGCTGGGGCCAGGGCCTGGGGTCCCCCAGGGCTTAGGTGGCCGGGAGTCAGGTGTGCCGCTGTCTCAGTGCAGGGCCACAGGGCCAGGGGGAATTTCCAGAGAAAATCTGAGTACACCCTGGGCCAGGCAGGGCGTTTCCGGTGAATCCTTGCCCCATGATGAGCCCATGCTGGTGACTCAACCTGACCATCAGGGGCCTGATCGGTCAGCTTGACTCATGGCCATGGGCCCCGGCCCTGCCTCTGAAAGTCAGGCTCCACATCACAGAACTGGGGTGCTGCGTGCCTTCTGTTCCTCTGCTGTGGGGGCTCCCTCACGCTGTGGGTGTGCGGGACTCTCCCTCCTGAGCGTGAGATGGTCTGGGGAAGCATGCTGAGAAAGGGACATTTGAGTAGGGTCTTGAAGGACACAGAGGAGTTCGATGCTGGCCCAAGGCCAGGTGAGGTTCCAAGCTGAGGGAGCGGGCTGGGGCCCAGCTGGCTCTAGAGGGCTCTACAGTGGGGTGGATGCCTGGAGGCCCAGGGTCATCATGGGGCCTGTGTGCAGGGCAGAGGGGCTGAGGAGTCTGGACTGAGACATTGACTCTGTCCCACGTGACAACCAAGGGTGGGGTGGGCTGTGCCCTCCCGTTCTCCACGTGCAGATCCTAGTGACTCACCCAGGGCCACCACCTGGATCACCAGCCGGGGCTGGAAAATGGGCACAACCTAGACCCTACTGTGCCTGAGGCCTGCATGTCCTGTGACCCTTGGAGCCGTGCCTCAAAGAAAAGCTTCCTGGTGTTCACCCATCAGACACCACGCAGGCCTTTGCTTCGGCCAGGAAGGGCAGGGCAGGCTTGGAATTAGGATCTCAGGGGTGTGCATCACCCAGTTCATGACACCCCAGGCACAGCCCTGACCCCAAAGCTCCTGGCATTAGGGTTACCCACTTCCATGTTGAACCCGCCGGGGGCCCCTCCTTTGCGCCCCAGGTGAGGAATGAGGTACAGGAGAGGCCGGGTCCTGGAAGGAGGGGACAAGCCCCCAGAGCAGGGCGGAGCCACTCTCAGGGACACAGACCTCCCAGACCACATCAGCCACAGCCACGTGCCCTACCGTGTGACACTTCACAGGGACCAGATGGCCTGGGGTAGGCTCTTCAGGGGAGCATTCGAGAAACCCAGGCAGCCACACTCAATTTCAGCCTGGGGCTGTGGAGGAAGGCCCAGCACTCCTGGACCACCCCAACCCCAGGAACAAGTGGCCTTTTCTGCAGCCAGATGGGGGTGGCCACACATTTGCCCCTTTGTCCTGGAGTCTGGAGCGCCCAACATGCCAAACCAGGACAGGGAGGAACAGGGGCCAGAGCAGAGCACAGGCAGGGCTGGCCTGGAGAGCAGCTGGGGTGGCCTTGGCCTCCAGGGACCACGCAGCATAGAGGGGGCGGCACGTTTATTGCTCATCACGCACACTTGGGGTCAACACCGGGGAAACCGAGGCTCCACGGCGACCGGTTCCTGGGCAGAAACCCGGGCCCCCCGTGCACCAGAGGCAGCTCCAGGGTCCCGTGGCTGATACACGCACTGGTCCTCCCTTGAGGCCATCACACACCAGGGCAGGCAAAGAGAGCCCCAGCCCGGTGTCCCACCCTCTGTCCTGCTTTGGGAAACACCCCCCCAGGCTTTAAGAGGTGATCACACAGGCACTGTCCCTGAGAGGTGTCCCGGATGCACCTCCCCCACCCACACCATGATCCCCGTGGGGGGACCTCCTCCACGGCCCTGGCTTCTGGGAGGGGCAGGGGTGCCTGCAGAGTTCACAGGCTGGCACTCATACTCCGGCCCCGGCACGGACTTGCCCGGTCACCCGCGGCAAACAACCCGCTGTGCTGCTCCTCTCCGCAGCACCGCCCCGCCCCACTGAACGCAGCCCGTGTCAAGGGACTTTGGCTGGATGGGGGCTGCCCCTGCCTCTTGGACTGAGTGGACGGAGGCCAGGGCTGAGCCCAGTGCTGCGACATCAGCCTGGAGGTCAGAGAGCAGGGTCACCTGCCTGGTTCCTAGGCTGGCCTGGTCTCCTAGGGCTGGGGAGAGCTGGGGAGGGATCCTGGGTCAGCTCGCCTTGGCCCAGGGACTGGCAGAGCATGAGGTGGTCTCAGGCCCTGCGGGGCAGCCCGGGCTGTGGGGGCCCAGGGGTCAGATGCGGCATGGCCTCAAGGACAATGCTCCTTGTCCACCCGCTTCCTGCTTAGGCCCACCTGAAAAGAGGGTCTGACTCCCCCCAACCACCCTCTGGCCTCAATACCCAGGAGAGCCTGTGACAGTGGAGACTTCATGCTGGCAACAAACAGCAGCTCGGACAGGCCGCGGGGCTAGACAAGAAAGGCCGAGGCCCAGCCCCGGCTCTGCTCCTTCATCACAGCCGCCCCTCCTGCCCCCAAACTCTGGCCACCCAGGAGGCCCTGAAACCCCGCCCCACCATCTGTGTCTAGCAGGCGCCGACCATATAAGGTGCCTCTGGCCTCCCTGCCCAGCCCTTCCGTGCTCCCAGCTCGCTGATGCCCGGGGTGGCAGCCCCCTAGCTTGGGGTCTTGGTGGCAAAGGTCAGGTAGCCGGTGTGGCCCACGGCCTCTTTCATGGGCGTGCCGCTGCGGAAGGGGCTGGTGTCGGGGCTGGCAGGGCCATCTGTGCCCGAGCCCAGGTCGGGCAGTGGCAGGCTGACGGTGCGCACGTTGTAGACCTGCGGCAGCACCTCCAGGGTGCTCAGCTCTGAGAAGCCGCGCGCCGCCAGCGCCTGGCACGTGCGCTGCACCTGCTCGATGCACGGCGAGAAGGAGCAGAAGCGCCCGCCTGTGGGAAGCAGGATCCAGGGTCAGAGGGCGGGGGTGGCGGAGCAGGGCGTCTGGCCCTGGCATCCCTGGACTCACACCCTTAGACAGCCAACACAGACTACCAGCCCTCCAGAGAGCGGGGACTGCAGGGCAGAGGGGCCTGGCACCATGGTTCCCGTCACCCAGCTTAGCTGTGCCAGGTCCTCCCATGTTCCAGGCACTGGGTCAAGCCTGTGCTGCCACCGTCTCACTTGGCCCACCACGGGCACTGCCCTCCTTCACGGGGCCACAGGACGCTGGGCCTGGAGCAGCAATGACAACACCGCAGTGCGGTGTGGGGTGGGGCGGGGGCTGGGGCTCTAGCAGGCGGGGGCCGCTGCTGTCACAGGAAATTAGAGGCTGTCGCTGCTCCCGGGAACAGGAGGCGCCTACTTGAAGCGGAGCCCAAGTGTGGCAGCCCCTCCCTCCCTCCCTCCTCCCACCAGGGCAGCCACGGGCTTCACTCAGCCTGGCCCGGAGTGAATGAGAGCGCAGCCCCGGGCCCTGTCCTGGCAGGGAGGACCTGGGGAAGCCAGGGCTAGGTAGAGGTACGTGGCCCAAGCAAGTGTCCTCAAATGTCCCTGAGGCCTGATCCCCTCAGCTGTACCCTGACACGGGGCTGCCGGGAGGTCCAGAGTTAGAGGAGGCTCCTACATGACAGCAGCCTAGAGAGGCACCAGGTCCTGCTGATGTGACGCTGCTCGTTGCACCCTCCCCGCTGGTCCCCAAACGAGTCAGGAGCCTGTGGACTTGGAAGGGGCAGTGCAGGTAAGGCCCCGACGAGGGAGGTCGCAGGGAAAGGGAAGGTCTCAGAGGCAGGTGTGGGTTCCCAGGGCCACTACTGAGGAAGGAGTCAGAGGCAGGAAGGGGCCCCAGAGCGGGCTCTCCTGAGTTCAGCCTCCCCAGGACTGCGCCCAGGCTCAGAAGTGTCCCCAGAGCCCGGGAGCCTGCAAGGGTGCAGGGGCAAAGGAGGAGGGGAGGAGGCAGGTGTGGAGATGCCCACAGCCACCCTCAGGCTCCTCAGCAGAGACCAGGAACCAGGAGTCAGGGCTGGGCCGGAGCCGGCAGGGGACCCTCAGCCACAGCCTTGCTGTGGTCTGAGGAGGGGTGTGGCGCCCCGTCCCCACCCTCCCCACTCCCACAATGCAACTCTCAACTGGGAGGAAGGAAGGGGGCCCTGCTGCCTGAGCCGTTCCTTCTCCAGAAAAGGGAAAGACCAGGGCCTCCCAGCCGCCTCCTTGGCTTGGGGCCCGACCTTCCCCAGGGCTGCCCCGCCTCCACACCCAGCATCTTCCCTATAAGGGGCCAGCTCCCTGGGCTCCAGAGCTTGGGGGAGGGGAGTCGTCGGGAAACAGCAGGGCAGGGGGTTCCAGACACCTCCAGCCGGGCCGCCCTGCACTTAGGGGGCGCTGCTACCTTCTCCCATCGAGGGGTCGGGAGAGGCCAGAGACCATGAGCAGGGCCCAGCTGGGGCCCATCCTCCCCGGCTCTGCCTGCCCTGGCCAGCCCAAGCCACTCCTCACCTCAGGCCAAAAAGGGGCCCTGGCCTGGCCACCGCCTTGGTATGTCTTGGTTTCTAGACCAAGGAGCTCCCAGGAGCTCAGCCCTCACCCTTGACGCCCTGCCCCAGGCTGTGCCTCTCCCGGAACCCCTGACGTACCTTCCACCTTGAGGGCATCCCAGGCGTGCCCCACGGCCTCCCAGGGTGACGGGATGTCCAGGAACACAGCATCAGCCACGTGGCTCACGCCAAAGCCGCTGCGGCACACATCCTGCGTGCGCACGGTCACCCAGCGGCCCACGCGGTGCTCCTGGAACTCCTCCCGTGCCTTCTCTGCCCGCTGCTGGTGGAACTCCACCGTATGCAAGTGGCCCGTGGGTGCAATGGTTCGGATGATGGCGTGGGACACAGAGCCACTGCCTGTGCCTGTCGGGACAAGATGGGACGGGCGAGGCATCAGGTGGGACTGCTCGGGGTCCACAGACTTCCAGGAAACAACCCCCGCCTCACCCCAGAGACCCGCACAGGGCTCAGGAGGACCCCAGGCGACGGGTGGGCTGTGTAGTCCCGGCTGCCTAGAGCCCTGGCCAGCCCTGCGTTGGACACACTGTCTAGGGGGTGAGCTGGTGTTGACAGGCTGTGTAGGCTGTGGTGTCTGCTATGGGCACAGGCCAGCGGCAGCCCTGCTCCATCCTGCCTGGTGCAGGTACAGGAGCTGAGAGAGCCCGCTGGCTGGAGCCTCCC